CACGTGGTATAAGGCTCCGCCCTTGTCATTTGTTGAGCAGGAAGAGTGAGCGCTTGTTTTCATGCAGATTACATCCCGGATCAAAATGCGGTACAATCGTCGTCATCTTTTTTTCTTTTCTTTTTTTTAAAGTTGTCATTTGGAAATGAGATCGCACATAAGTATGAATCGAGTTCGCAATTTTCTAACGATTAATCGTGCAGCCCTAGTTGGAAGTCCAGTTGTCCAGATTGTGGTTCCAACTAAATACCGTGATGAGGTGTTGAAGTGTTCTCATGACAAATCTGGGCATTTGGGAGTGACGAATACTTATAATTACATCTTGCACTACTTCTTTTGGCCACGTCTTAAGCATGATGTTTCAGCTTACATTAAGACCTGCCATACTTGCCAAATTATAGGTAAGCCAAATCAGTCTAAACCTGCTCCACTTTGTCCCATCCCTGCTGTGAGTAACCCATTTGAACATTTGATCATTGACTGTGTGGGCCCTCTTCCTAGAGCAACATCTAGTTCGGAGTATCTTTTGACTGTAATGTGCCAGGTTACGCGTTATCCTGCTGCATATCCGCTGCGTACCATCACAGCCAAGTCTGTGGTGAAGGCTTTGACAGTTTATTTCTATATTTGGCATGCCGAAGATTATTCAGAGTGACCAGGGATCAAACTTTTCGTCAAATCTATTTGCACAAGTTCTTAAGCTGTTGAATATTGTACATAATAAAGCCTCTCCTTATCATCCACAGAGCCAAGGTGCTTTAGAGCACTTCCATCAAACACTGAAGTCCTTGTTACGCGTCTATTGCACCAAAATGAGGAGTGACTGGGAGGAAGGTTTACCGCGGCTTCTGTTGGCAGCGCGAGGAGAGTACTGGGTTTAGCCCAAATGACTTGGTCTTTGGCCACAAAGTTCGGGGACCATTGACAGTGTTGTGCGATAAGTGGTTGTCAGGTGAACCACCAGTGAACCTGATAGATTATGTTAATGGTTTTTGGCACAGACTGTATGTGGCAGGTCAGTTGGCCAAACAGAACCTTGAAAAGGCTCAGGTCAAGATGAAATATTTTTATGAACGGCGTTCTGAAGAGCAGCAGTTTAGTGCGGGTGACCAGGTTTTGGCTTTACTGCCGATTGCAGGGTCACTGTTCCAGGCACGGTTTGCTGGGCCCTACACCGTGGTACAGAAACTGTCTGAACAGAATTATCTGATTGCTACCCCAGATCACCGGAAAAGAAATCAACTTTGGCATGTTAATTTGTTGAAACCATATCGTGTTCGTCCTTTGTCGGTCTGTCAGGCTCTCTCATTTCTCCTTCCACATCGAGTCCAGGGTTGACTGCTTGTACAATAGCACAGTCAGTTTGTGGGGGGGAGGATGTGGCAGCACCTGATGATCCTTTATTGCTTGGTCGTCTGAAGAATTCAGAGACTCTTCGGAACTTGGAGGTGCTGTTGGGCCATTTGCCTGCTGACAAATGTGCAGAACTGTCTGCATTAATTAAAAGGTATCCAACCTTGTTTAGAGACACACCTTCTAAGACAACTTTGATAGAGCATGATATTGATGTGGGTGATGCAAAACCAATCCGGCAGAGGTTCTACAGGGTCTCTGAGAAAAAGAGGAAAATAATTGATAAGGAAGTTCATTACATGTTGGAAAACAACATTGCAGTGCCGTCGTCATCAAGCTGGGCTTCCCCATGTTTCTTGGTTGAAAAAGCTGATAAATCACCACGTTGTTGCACAGACTTTCGTAAAGTAAATGCAGTGACCAAACCCGATTCCTATCCCTTGCCTCATATTGACGACTGTATTGACCAAGTTGGGGTCAGCAGAATATGTGAGCAAGTTTGATCTGTTGAAGGGATATTGGCAGGTGCCACTGACTCCCAGAGCTCAGGAAATATCTGCTTTCATCACGCCATCTGGTCTTTATTCATATACAGTCATGGGTTTTGGTTTACGCAATGGTCCAGCTACATTTCAGCGACTCATGAATATGGTTGTTAATGGGCTGAAAGGCTGTGCTGTTTACCTAGATGACATGGTGATATATAGTAGCACCTAGGAGGATCATCTGGATCGTATTCGCACTCTGTTTGAATGACTAGTTTGGGGAAATCTGACTATCAACCTGGCAAAATGTGAATTTGCAAAAGCAACTGTGACCCATCTTGGCAAGGTTGTGGGCCAAGGTTATGTGAGGCCAGTTGATGCAAAGGTGTTGGCCATCAAAGAGTTCCCTGTTCCAGTAACCAAAAAAGAACTCGAGATTTTTGGATCTGGTCGGTTATTATCGCTGTTTTTGTCGAAACTTCTCAACAGTGGTTGCTCCTCTGACTGATTTGTTGAAGGCCAAAGTAAAGTTTATTTGGTCTGCAGCATGCCAGCAAGCTTTTTGGGATGTAAAAGCTTTACTATGCTCTGAACCTGTGCTTTT